ACCGTGAGGAAACCGACCTCCGAGACGGACTCACCCGTGCCGTTCAGGGAGGCGGCCGCCCGGCCGCAGCGAGGCGGTCGAGGTTGTCCTGGAGCGCCTGCAGGTCCGCCGCGAAGGTGTCCCTGCTCTGGGCCGTGACCGCGGCGCCGCCTGGCCCCCGAGCAGGCGTCGCGCCCGCCGCCGTTGCCCCGCCCCAGACCTCGTCCGCGTCGGTGTCGGTCCTGCGGAGTTGCCGTCGAGGAGCGGGCGGGGCCACGCTGGGGCCGCGGCCCGCCACCAGCCCGTCCGCCCACTCGTCGTCCACCAGCGTCGGCCGCGGCCCCGCCGCAGCCCGCAGCACCGCCGCCACGACCACCTCGCCCCCGTCGCCGTCGCCGCCTCCCAAGGACAGCAGCAGCGCCAGGCACGGGCGCGGCTGGCAGTGTGGCGGGAGCCCGAAAGCTCGCCGCCGCCGCGCGCAGCAGGCCCTCGGCGGCCCGCAACAGGCGCACTTCCGACTGGGAGTGGCCCGCCGCGAGGCCCGCCGCGGCGTGCGTCGCCAGGAGCGCCCCGCGGGCTGCTTCCTCGGCGACGCGCTGCTGCGAGAGCGCACCTGGCATTGCCCAGCAGCGAGCGCGGCGCGGCCGCGGCCCAGCCATGCGGAACTGAGCCAAAATCGTACCAGGAGGAGGAGGAGGAGGAGGAGGAGGAGGAGAAGGAGGAGGAGGAGGAGGAGGAGGAGGAGGAGGAGGAGGAGAAGAAAGAGAATGAGAATGAGGAGGAGGAGGAGGAGGAGGAGGAGGAGAAAGAGGAGGAGAAGGAGGAGAAGGAGGAGGAGGAGGAGGGGAAGAGGGGAACGACGAGGAGGAATAAGGGACAATCTAGCGATCGATTTCGCTTTGAAAGTAAGTTCGCTTTCCGTTCCCGTGCTGAGCAGGTCTACTAGCAGCAGTTTTTTTCCCGAGAGGCCTCCAGTGGATTCAAGATAGCCCAGGATGGTCCAAGATGACCTCCAAGACGGCTCCAGGGGGTCAAGAGGCTTCAACTTCGCCCAATATGCCTCCAAGACGGCCCAAGAGGCCTCCAAGACGATCCAAGAGGCCTCCAAGGCGCCCCTAGAGCCCCCCCAAGAGGGCCCAACGATGCAACATTCATTGATTGTTCGATGGTGTTTGAAGGTTCTTCGTGTTCTCCCGTTTTCGGCTTCCCGACGGGCTCCAGGCAGGGCCCGTCTCGATCTGATCGATTTGGCTTGACATCGTTTTCGGCTGGCTCGGTCTGGTCCACTGTCGGTACAGCTCGGTATCGTTGTCGGCCAGTGCGCCCCGACGATTGAATGAGGATGTTGCGCATCCGTTCGCGACCGATACAAGTCGATCTCGGCGCCGTGTCGATGCAGGCCAGTCACAGTACACGCTCTGATCCGATCCGGTTTGCCGACTCGATGTTTATCGATTTTGCCCCCAGGATGCGCGAGAGGTTTGAATGGATATGAGTTGACAGAGAAGGGGCTGGATCCTGGAAGCGTAGGACTCGAGCTCGCCAGAATTCGGGTTTGCCGACGCTAGTTGACGGGCCCGTTTTGAATTTTGACGGTCCAGTTGTCGCAGGATGTTTGCAGCGGAGCTCGCGTCAAATTTCAGATTAAACCTCGTCATTTGTCTGACGGCCCCGTCAGGCCCATGCGAGTTGTCAAAACTCGAGTTCTACGTCTCCCCGACCAGAAGGTGCGACGAATTTGTTCGGCAAGAGTGCCGTCCTCCGAGACAGAGCGCCCCGGCCGGCCAGCGGCGCTTCCGATATCAGCACCTTCCAGCTGGAGCTGCTGCGCCGCACGAAGCAGCAGCTAGATTTCCTGAGGGGCCAGGCCGAGTCCATCAAGCAGGCGCCCATGCGCGCGAGCAGCTCTCACTGTCTTTTCAATCATCTGTGTCCCTGGTCTCTTCGTCTGCACTGGATTTGTCGTGACTGTGAGCCTACTCGCAGGCATTTCCTGAAGGTCTCCACGATCTGAAGGTTTCCTGGCCGTTCCTGCTTTCCTTCTCCTCTCGCCTTTCGTCTGCCTGCGCCCCAGTACTTAATTCGCCACCCTTGCGCCGAGGAGAGGATATTGGAGGGCTCCTTCTTTTACACAGGATGTTTGGCCCCGAGCCCGCCGCGGTTGCGCCCGAGCTCGCGAAGGACTGGGGCGGCGTGGACGCCATCTCGTCCTGCAGGACGGGTGGCCCCAGGCACGTCTGCGCGAGCCTCCGCGCTGACGGCCGAGCTCGCCAAGGGCCCAGGCGGGCACAGCTGCTCGGCGGCGCCCGAGGCCATGCCTGGCGGGTTGAGGCAACGGTCGTTGGCCTTCAGGGGGCCCCCTCGTCGCCACGGCTGGACGCAGCTCGCAAAACTAGTTCGTGGGGGCCCCCAGAAGAGTCCAGGCAAAGTGTGTGCGTGTGTGTTTGTGTGTGTGTGCGTTTGTGTGTGTGCCTGCATCCCCCCGGCCGGCTTGCCTGGCTGCCCGCCGGTTGCCGCCTCCCAGCCGCTGCTTCGCCGCCGCCGCTGGCCCCCCGCCCTGGCGCCCTTCCTGCTGTGGCCTGGCCCTGCCCTGAGCGGGTTGGGCTTCCTCTCCCTCCCGCCCGCGCCAGATCTTCTCCCTCTTCCCGCGTGTCCGCGGCTTCATTCGCGTTTTGTGCGCCCCACTAATGCCACACTGCCGGAGCAGTCCCTTTGCCCAGCCGCCGACGCAAAAAGTGTGTGTGTGTGTGTGTAAGTATGTTGTATGTGAGTGTGTGTGTGTGTGTGCGTGTGTGTGCTTGTGTGTGTTTGAGTGTGTGCGTGCGTGCGTGCGCGTGCGCGTGCGCGTGCGCGTGCGCGTGCGCGTACGCGTGTGCGTGTGCGTGTGCGTGTGCGTGTGCGTGTGCGTGTGCGTGTGCGTGTGCGTGTGCGTGTGCGTGTGCGTGCGCGTGCGCGTGCGCGTGCGCGTGCGCGGGCGCGGGCGTGGGCGTGGGCGTGTGCGTGTGCGCGTGCGCGTGTGCGTGTGCGTGCGCGTGCGCGTGCGCGTGCGCGTGCGCGGGCGTGGGCGTGTGCGTGGGCGTGTGCGTGTGCGTGTGCGTGTGCGGGCGCGGGCGCGGGCGCGTGCGCGTGCGCGTGCGCGTGCGCGTGCACGGGCGCGTGCACGGGCGTGGGCGTGGGCGTGGGCGTGGGCGTGGGCGTATGCGTGTTCGTGTGCGTGGCGTGTGCGTGTGCGTGTGCGTGTGCGCGTGCGTGTGCGCGCGTGCGTGCGTGCGTGCGTGCGTGTGCGTGCGTGAATCCGTCCGTGCGTGCGTGCGTGCGTGCGTGTGTGTGCGTGCGTGCGTGCGTGCGTGCGTGTGTGTGTGTGTGTGTGTGCGTGTGCGTGTGCGTGTGCGTGTGTGTGTGTGTGCGTGAGTGTGTGTGTGTGTGTTTGTGTTAGTGTACGTGTGTGTGTGTGTGTGTGTTGGTGCGTGTGTGTGTGTGTGTGTTAGTGTTAGTGTGCGTGTGTGTATGTGTGTGTGTGTTAGTGTGTGTGTGTGTGCGTGTGTCTGGGGCGTATGCTGGGGATTGCGCCTTCGTTCATGTCCCGAGTAAGCACTGCGGCAATGCGTGACACAGTGTCTGCCTCAGCTTCCCCGCGCCCTTGCACGAATGTGGTGTGGCTGCCCACGCGACCAGACGGACGCAAGGCTCAGCGATGGTTCTCTCAGCTCGCGACGCTCCGAGCCAAGAGTTCGGGGGCGTCCGCCTGCACCGCACGGCGGCGCGAGGTCGGCGGCCCTGGAACGCGCCGTGCCCGACGTCTAGCCGGCGCCGCCGGGCGCCTGGCGGCGCCCCTGGGGCGCTCCGGCCCCAGGGCAGAGGTGTTGAGTGTTGAGACCGCCCAGGGACTATTCTGGATGGGTTTTTGTTTGATCAAGGGGGGGGGATTAACCTTCTGATTGAGCCTGCCCAATCCCGCCCCCCATCCATCCTCCTCCCCATCCTCCTCTTCTCCTCATCCTCCTCTTCCCCCAACCCCACCTCCACCCGTTCCGACAGACAGCACGTGCCCAACCCTCCCAACGGATCCAAGGGGGGGGGGGGGCGATTACGACGGTGACAGAAGGTCCCCCGAGGATGCAGCATAATTTGAAGGTGCAATTATCGACCACGCAGGGCCTGCTGGCCAATATGTCGAGGTCGGTCCGCGCGCGGTCCAGGAGGATCCGTGGCGCCACGAACCTGCCCTACGTGCGCCCGCTTGACGGGTCGGGCGTGGCCCATCCCGCAGAGGCGAGGCCAGAGGTAGGCGAAGAAGAAGCAATCGAAGATAGATTACCTTTCGGAGGTCCGCGCAGATGTTTTCCGAATCCAACTTATTGAACAAATCAAAACGGAAGTGTTTCGCTGCTTCTGGCCTATCTAGAGGCCCTCGGCCAGCCCCGGGACTGTCAAAAGACGACTCAGGAGGACAAGCCAGTCTCTGGGAGTGGGTCGAGGCTTCTGGGGACCCCACATTGAAAAAATCAAGACGTCGGATCTCTCGGGAGCTGGGTCTCGCTTCCCTGGCGCGCTCCGCGCGCCAGGGCCGCCGCCAGAGGCTTCGCGAGGGCGGTCCGAGCGCAGGCTCAGGAAGTCCGCGCGGGCGTCCGACGGGTCTTTGTTTGTGCAAGTGGTCTTCCTCTGGAGGCGGCCGAGGTGCAGCGAGGTTCAGAGGTACTGACCGAGGTGCAGCGAGGTGCAGAGGCTCTGGAGGCGGCCGAGGTGCAGCGAGGCGGCCGAGGTGCGCCGAAGTGCAGCGAGGTTCAGAGGTACTGACCGAGGGGGATAGGTTCATGCGGTGAGTGCATCGATCCCAAGCGTCGCCTGCAGGGGCCTGGTGGCCCACCCCGCTCAGGAACGCTCGATTTCGCCATCGGGGGCCCGTCGCGGATCTATCGGCGATGTATCGCCGATTCCAGCTCGATGTTTCCCCCCCTGAGCCAGTCCCCCCTACAGTCAAGACAATGAAAAGAGGACCATGTCCAGGCGATCCAAAACATGGATCAAGGGGGCGTGGATCAGCGACGGGTCCCGTTTCCATGGGAAGTCGCGGATTTCCGCCGCCGAACGGGGCGGCACCGGCCGCATTTTGGGGAGGGCACCTCCCCCGATCCATGGATCTGGCGACCGCGAATCCACGGATCGTTAATCCATTTGTGCGCGCCCCCGACATGTTGGGCTCAGGAGGCCTTTTGGTTTTTTGGGGGCAGCGGCTCGAGCTTTATAGGTCGGGGGACCTGTGCGTGGCCAGGGCTCGGCGCGGCCAGGAAAGCCCCCCTCGGTCCTCATCTCGCGTTTCCCATGGCAGCATCCAGTCGGGCGTGTCCCTCTACAGGAGGAATATTCAAAAATAGTTAAAAAGCGGATTCTGTGGAAGGAGGCCAGGCCGCGCCCCCATGAAGGCGAGGCAATACTCGCATCTGCTTTGCAGCGCCCGTGGCCAGGCTAGCAATAGAGAGGGGACGAGTTCAGACGACGCATTCAGACGGACCCCCCCCCCAACCAGCGCAAATTCCAGAGGGTGTCATCCTCGGAGATTGCTGAATGGGTTGCGAGAGGGAAACTGGTCGTTCCTCCCGGTCTCTCCAGTGGACCCTTGGGCAGTCGGCTCTGTGCGCTTTGGCCCAGCCTACGATCCTGCATGCCAATTCGGGGGGCGAGGAGCGGGAGCTGGGAGGAGCTTGAGCTGGCATGGGGCCGCCTGGGTTTGCGCTCAGCAGATGCTCGGTTCCGTTCCGCGGAGCTGCTTTCGGCTTGCTGCCCACACGGTCGGGGCAGAGCGTCAGAGGAGGAGAAGGTACCCATACCGCTACCCTTCCCTCGATTTCCCCTTGTGGGGGCCTGGTGGGTGGCCCTCGTCACTACCGCTGGATTCGCTTCGAAATCCTGGCTTGAACGCACCTCAGGGGAGGTCCAGGGCGTGGTGGTATCGGTACCCTTTTGGTCTCCCCCAAAGGCAGGGAGGTCTGTACGTGTGGACGTTTTGGTGCACGAGCCTCCCCCAGCCCCCGAAACAAGCACATGGGGCGGTCCAGAGAAAAGCCCCGCACTCGAGGGTCGAAGGAATGGGCATTCCTTCCTCGGCGGAAGGCGGCGGAAGTGAAACGAGGCCGCCTCCGTCGGCGGAAGCCGGCGGAAGTAAGCATGCGCCCTAAGAGATTGCACCAGTTTTTTGTTCAGGATTTCGGTAATTTGCCATGTTGACGTTTTGGCGCATGACCCCCCCAAAAATAAACATGTTACCCCGCCGAACAGAAAGTAGTGGCTGAGTGTCGGGAGGATAGTGCCCGTGCAATCCCCAACTCATTCACGGGCCATTCACCGTCCGGCGCGTGGGTAGGAATTCAGGACGTGAGCGATCACAAACCGAGAATTGAATGCCGCGCGGGCTGAACAGAACAAGAAGAGGAGAAGGAGAAGGAGACGGAGCAGGACCCGTACATTCCTGTCCAGACCTACGCACGTTACATCGACTGGATTTCGAGTCCGCTGTTGGATCTTGAAGTCAGCGCGATCCTTCGGAGAGGCACAGTCTCCGCATTCGCTTTGCATGCTGAACGTGCGACAGCTGGCCTGTTCTTCTGTGGTGATGCGTTCCTTGCTTGCGGCTCGGTCGATTTCCAGCCGACCTCTGGCGTTTCCATGGTCGGTTCGATCCGATGTGGATTGCCGACTCGATGTTGGGGCCGCTTGGCCTGGACATCCACAGTGCATGCCCCAGCTCACCACAGCTTGTCGTCCTCTCTTCTTCTCATCCTCTCTTCTCACTTCCTATATTTCCTCATTCTTGCCTCCACCCCCTGCTCTTCCTACCTGGTCCCGAACCTGCTACAAGCCAGCGTGATCCTTCGGAGAGGCACAGCCTCTGCATTCGCTTTGCAAGCTGAGCGTGTGCCAACCGTCATCTTTCCTGTAGCTGGGGGTGCGTTTCTTGTTGCTGCTCGGCCGATTCCTGGCCGACGTGTGCCGACTCGGTGTTGGGGCCGCTTGGCCTGGACACATGTTGCATCTCAAACCACGGTGCACGCCAGAGGTCGTTGCAGCTTGCTGGCCTCGCAGATCAGGTCCGTGCGGCAAGATGGCTCTGGACATGCTTTCGCGTCGACGCGGAGAGGGCTGTGAGTTTTCCCTGGCGGGGTTCGTTCGCGCGGGCTGTGCTATGCCCAGAATTGTTGTCGCTGAAGCTGCCTGGTGGAGTGCCAAGTACTCCCCGCGACGATCCCCTAAACCCCGGCCTTCGTTTCATCACAGCGCCATGAGCTGCGCTAGATCCGAATCGCGCGCGTGGTTGTTAGTACGCCTTCTAATATCAATATGTGGGGCGTTCCAAAAAGGACCTTGCCTTCGAGGACCGAAGGAGTTGTCATCTCTTCCGCCGCGGAATGCGGAGGAAGGTCGGCGGAAGTAAAACGAGGCCGCCTCCGCCAGCGGACGCCGGAGGAAGGGCGGTGGAAGGTGGCGGAAGTATGCAATGCGCCCCCAAGAGATGAACACATTGTTTGGTTCAGGATGTCTGAAATCCCCCATGCAGTGTTGTATGCACATGTCTATATATATATGTATATATATATCTGTATATATATAGGTGTGTGTGTGTTACGTACGTATGTAGACATGTAAGCATACATATGTATCTGCATCCACACTTGCATTTATATGTAGAGATCAATGTTCCTATACCTGTGTCTATACCAAAACCTACACCTGTACACACACACTTATATACATCTATATATATATATATAGATGCACATCTAAATGTATATGTATAGCTCGTATCTCTTGGGACCACGGTCCCAGGCCCATGGGCTAGGATACCCTTCCGGGTTCCCACGACTGCGGGGGAATCGTATTTTTTGATCCCTCTGGGGCCCTCCCCAGGCCCTGGCAAAGGGCTTCAAGAGGCCGCAAGAGCCTTCGAGACCCGCCCGCGCGTTCCCAGAGGGCTCCAAGAATCCGCAGGATAGCCCAAGTGCCCGCCGATCTTTCCCAATCCGACGATTCCAAGGAGGACCCAAGAGGCTCCAGGACGGCCTCAAGACAGCTTCGATGGGTCTCGAAGGATTCCCCAACGGAGAAGGATGCCTTTTGGTTGTCTGACTTTGTTGGGTGCTTTTTTCCAATGCCATGAGGGCTTCAGCGGAGCCTAAGGAGCGGCCAGAAGCGCGCCAAGAGGGCCCCAGGAGGACCAAAGAGGGCATCCGTTGGAGCCTCACCAAAAACGGCAAGACGTACCAAGATCGGCCCGAGATTTCTACATTCAACATCTTGCTATTGTACCGTATGTTTCTCGCCGGCTGCCAGCAGGCCGGGCACCAGCTCCGCCGCAAAGTCTCTTCTTGTAGAGGGGTGCGGTCATGTCTGAGGCAATGACGCTTTAACATCTTAGGGATAGCATTCGCCTGTAGCAAACACTTAACTGCCGAATCATACCTTACCTGTAGCAAGCGCTGTTGAGGATCATGCCTGCGGCAATCAGCTAAAGCAGCAAGATAAGATAGATCGCCACGATATGTTTCAAGAGGAATCCGAGACGGCCACAGGAGAGCCAAGAGAGGTCTTGGGGATTTCTTTGAGCTCTCTTGGGGGCCCTCTTTGGGCCACTTTAGAGGACATCGTTTAGAAAAGGGGAGGGGGTTTGACTACCCTGTCCCTCTGGAGCCCGAACATTGGCTTATTGGGCGCTCTTGGCGCCGTTTTGGAGCCCTCATGGGACCCTCGTGGGGCTTTCTTAGGCAGTCGGGTAGTCATCTCCAGGCCTCACAGCCCATCGGAAGCGGAAAGGGAAAGGCAAGAAGGCAAATTACATTCCATACCTTTAGATGTTGGAGGGATTTGGCACGGGTTCGGGCCTCTCGAGGCCGCATTTGGGAGACCCCGTGGCCGCTTGGAGCCGTTTTCGGGCGGTCTCGCTGCCTCTTGGATGCATTTTGGAGGCCATCTGGATCTCATCTTGGGCTCGCTGAGGCCATCTTGGAGCCATCTTAGGCCATCTTGGACGCTTTTGCCGCAAGAGGGTCAAGCTACCCACAACCCACCAGCCGTCTCGCTCATTCCCACCGGCCCACGCGGCACGCGAAAGTGCACCGGAGTCTCAGCACACACAGCGGTCCCAATCGGATGGGCAGCCACATGACACCAGTGCAGACGCCATGTGCGCAACTTTGGCGAGGTGCTCCCCGCGTGCCCAGGGGCCCATGCGTGCCAGGCGCGCCAAGTGCGCCAGATGCACCGCGTGCTCCGCGTGCACCAAGTGTACCACGTGTGCTCGGCGCACACAGCGTGTGCCAGGTGCGCCAACGCACGTGGCAGCACACATCAGGCAACACGTCGAACCCCCCACCGCCATCCTTGCCAAAGACATGCGCCAAGAGAGCGGCTAGGTGGCCATCGCGGTGTATGAAAAGTGCACCCGCAATCGCTGTACTGTTTTCTTGAGAGGGATGGTGTGCTTGCGCGCACTTTGCAATCTGCTACCCCCTTCACACCGTCCTTATCAAAAACAATTCAAAGTGACAGCGAGGAGCGTGCGCATGGTCAATATTTTGCCGCAAAGTGTACTTTGTGTTTTTATTTACCGGGATGTGCGAGGGGGGTGTTGGCATGGGTTCGGCTCGCCGGCGGGTCGACTGGGCGAGAGGGTGATCATTAAGAAACGCAGAAATCAAGTTGCCCCCGAAGTACGGCCGTTTATCTGGACCATGGAGGTGTACGGAGGGGGGAGAAGTAATTGATAGTTCCTTGGGTGTTCTATGCATCCATGGCACCAGTCTCATGTGGGGTGCAACGCCCTCTGTTAATTCATGTGTGCGGGTGTGTGTCGGCGATGTGGTTTGTCTCTCGAGTTCCGTTTGCACGTCTCTATGCAATGCGACCGTTCGGATGAGTATTCAGAAGGTTGCCGGCGCTGATTAATGTGTGTGTGTCGGTGTGGACGGATCCACCAGGCCCTCTTCGACGCCGTGGACGACGAGGACGACATGGACCAGCTCGTGGAGGCTCTGCGAGCCTCGGCGCCAACGCTCCCCATCCCGCCCCCCTCCTCCCTCCCAGCAGCAAGCTTAACGCTCCTATTGGGCCGAGCTCGTCTCTGGCCGACATGAATCGCGGAGAGTCAGAGCGGAACAAGCCGGCAGGAAGCGAGGCCCCCATCTTTTTGACCCCCACAGAGGCCACGCCGCGGCATGAATGATGATGTCAGGTCTGCGAGGTGGAAGGCAAGAAGCAACCAGATCGATGAGTTTGACGAGACTGTTCGCACTGGTGCGTTCTCGACCCATTCTCTAGGATACGAACCCTGGGAGGTTAAATTCAGCATCGGCGCTGCTACATGCGTGGTCGAAGACTGGCCCCAACCTGCATAGCCCGGCTTGTCCCTGCCAAATCTAGCCGAATCATGCTTTATCTCTGGCTCACTTCTGGGCTCCATCTGGGCTGATCTGGCTTCATGGTCGCTTCAGTGGGCTGAGCAGCTTGTAGTTGTACAGGGGCCCGCCATCCTGAGCGAAGAGGAGATAACCGCTGGGCCGAGGGGACCGCCCCTGGCGCCGCACCAGAGACCGTGGAAGATGTCGCAGTACCCTGCATCCTTCCCCTTCGGCCCATCCTTGGCTGATCTTGGCCGCTTTCGCTGGCCGCGCCCCACTCGCAAAGTGTCGGCATGGCTTTCCGAGGCCCTTGCATCGTTATCGTGCTCCCACATTTTACGAGATGGTTATACCTTCCCCGTTGGCACACATTCACTCTCTTGTTAGGCTGTGCATAGCCCTCAGGGCGCACTTTCTTGGGAACATCCCGACTTACAGTGCGGGCTCTGTCCCCCAGCGGGTCGGAATGAACATCTCGGCTCTCTGTCTCTGCTGACCGACCTATATTCACAGGTTAGCAGTCGTTTTAGATTTGCCCTGGGGAGTTCTCTTCCTTTTCGTAGGGGCTCTCATGCCACCCTCCCATGCTTCATGTATGTATGTATTTCTGCTTGTGCACCATCAGGTCGCCGCATCCGTATGTATATATATGTGTGTGTGTGTTGCGTTGCTGTACGTGTGGGGGCCCCTCGCATCGTCGCCTAGCCCTTCGTTTCTGTTGGAACGGTATCGCTGCAGAGCAGTCCTGACTTGCAAGCACGTGAGCATAGGCGAGGATTAAGTCTGAGGCTCAGGCACCCGTGTCCCCAGGCTCTTGGCAGCCGTCACAGGTGCGCGCACGAGGTTCAGGTTCGCATGCAAAATGCTTCCCGCCTGTCTTCGAGGTTTGGCCAGGTTCAGGAATGCAGAGTGCTGCGCAGACAAGGGCGTATGAGGTTCAGGCCAGGGTCGTTGACGCGAGGACACCGTCGTGGAATAGTGTTGCCAGAGTATTGAAGCGCCCGGCAGTCGGGTGCAGCGTTTCCCTTAACAGCGTTTGCACTTATGGTGTGGGTGGCGGCCTGGCAGCTCCTTGCTCGCCGTCGCCGCCCCGTCGCCGCATCGTCGCCGCCCATCGTCTGGGCCTGGGTGACGATCCTGCGGCTCGGTGCTCGCCGTCGCCGCCCCGTCGCCGCCCAGACTCGCTTTAAAATAAACATTCCCCAAGCAGAGCTTGCCTCTGTAGGGGTCCTAGCGGATTCATCTGGTTAGGTGAGGTGGGGCGCCGATCTCGGCGGCACGCCCGGGTGGGTGCCCCTTTCAGGTTCGCCGCCGATTTTCACGGTGCCCGGGTGCCCGAGTGTTGTTTTACAGCCCTGTAGCCCTGTAGACCTCTTGCATTGTTGCCCTATGGCCTTATAGCTCAATAGCCTTATAGTCCTACAGCCCCATAGCCTTATAGCCCTACAGCCGTATGCCCTATAGCCCTATCGCTCTATAACCCTATAGCCTTCTAGCGTTATAGCCTTATTACCCTATAGCCCTACAGCCCTATAGCTCTACATGCCTATAGCCCTATAGCCCGACAGCCTTATAGCCCTATGGTCCTATAGCCGTGTAGCCCCATAGCCCCATGTCCTTATAGCCCTAAACAGATGACGATTGCGGTTTGTCTCTGGTATCATTTAAAGCTCCACCCCGGGAATTATCAACACCCCGGGGGTGCTGCAATTCACAGTCGATTCAGCCCCATCATTGTTTAAATGAATTCATACCACCCTTGTCGAATCGTTCTATGCGCGCACACTTGTGAATCACAAGTCAGACATATTCAAAAACCTTTTGCAACATAACTGAACAAAGTCCGCATGCGCGCGGCGTCACGCGCAAATGCCGACATTCATCCATCTCTTCTTAATATGGTGTCTCGTCTATGGTTTTACAAATTCGTTCATTCGAATCAGAAATTCACACCATCTTAGGCAGTCCTGTCAAATAGTGTTATTCGCGCGTGCGGGCCACTCGTGCTCGTCGACCGCGCGAGCGTATGCCGAAATCTTCCCAAACCTTCAGACGCGAGGACACCATCATCGTCATCGGCCCGATCAGCATCGGAGCAGTCATTGCCCTTACCGTCGTCCTTGTCACCATTGCCAACAACATCGATACTATAATTGTCCTGGCCGGTGTCGGCGTCGCCATGTTACCGCGCCCGCCCAAGTCACCGACTCGTACTGACTGCCCGCGCCTCAGCGCGGCCTGCGAGACACGGTGAGAAATGCCCCGCGGTCAGCGCCACCGCGGCCGCGTCGGTCGCGCCAGACTAGCTGGCCGCTTTGCGCGCGAGCCTGTGCGCGTCAACGCGGCCGCAGCGATGCACCAGCCAGCGCCAAGCAGCCATCGCAATCGCCGCCGCATGGGTTTTGGAAACCAAGCTGCGGTGGGTGGGTGGGATGTTTGCGCGAGCGTGGGAGGTGGGCACGCGCGAGGCAGTCAAAGTCAAATGCACCACGTAGATTGCACCACAGCGGTTCGCCTCTTCTCAAACATCAGTAGCGCCCACCAGCACCCCGAACGCGGGATTATCGATCCCCCTGGGGATGTGAAGTTTACACACGTCCGTGTCCCATTCTTTAACCAGAATATGAGTTCATAGGGCCCCAGACGAACAGGGCTCGATTCCCTCCCCCATCCTTTGCGAAAAACAGAATGAGCGCTCATCGTTACCCCAAACATCACCAGTTCCAGCAAAGCTTCTGCAACAATCGGGACGAAACGCACTCGCGTGCGTCGTCGCGAGTGCTTGCAGCAATCTTTCGAAAAAACATACAAACAACACGGTGTTTTGCAGCACGAGTTCGATTATATAATCCAATAGCCCTTATAACGGCGACGATGGAACACAGTGCCGGGGAACTGCTTTGAACATCACCAGTCGTTCAAAGCAGTGCCCCGGCACTGCTTTGAACGATGCGGAAATGCGATCAGCAGGAGCCTTCGTCTGTTCCTTCTCCTCTTCTCGTCGCTGTATGCTCTTCCTTGTCCTCCCTCCTCCCCCGTTCCCTCTCTAATTAATTACCTCGTTCTCCCAGTCTCACGCGCACTCTTCCTCCCCCCTCTCCTCCTCCTCTTCCTGCTTCTCCTCCTCGTCCTCCTCCTCCTCCGCCTCCTCCCCCTCATTTGTTATATTTCTCCGTCCTTGTCCTCCTGTCCCCGTTCTCCTTCTCCCTCTCCTCCTCCTCCTCCTCCTCGTCGTCGTCGTCCTCCTCCTCTCCTCCTCCTCCTCCTCCTCCTCCTCTCCTCCTCCTCCTCCTCCTCCTCCTCCTCCTCCTCCTCACCTTCTTCCTCCTCCTCCTCCTCCCCCTTTTCCTCTCCCTCCTCCTCCTCCTCCTCCTCCCCCTTCCCCCTCTTCCTCCTCTGCTATCACTCCTCCATAATTCCTGTCCGCTCCTCCCCTTCACTGATCTTCCTCTTCGTCATCATCATCCCTTTCGTCGCACGCCTCTTAATCCTCAATCGGTTCCCAATCTTCTCGACTTTCTTGTCATCCGCGTCCTTGGCTGTTGGAGGGGCCTCAGGAATTCTCAGGGCTCTTGTGTTGCACGCGAAGGCACACCTCCCAGGAACGCATCATCCTCCTCACATTCACCCTCCTCCTCCTCATCCTCCTCCTCCATGCACGTTCGGCTCAAGCCCGCGCCGACGGTAGGTTTCACGGCGGTTGGGCGGGCTCGCGCCCGCCTCCGCGGCCTGCAGTCGGGGCAGAGATGCGTGCAGGGTGGGATGACAAAGCGGAAGAGGAAACACGGGCCGCAGTTGCGGATTCTTCAAAGAGCAGCGGCGGCGGTTGGGGAACAAGTGGGGGTTGGGGCGGCCGCAGTGGCGGATACGGCGGCGGAGGTGACCGCAGTGGCGGCTGGGGCGGCGGAGATTCTCTTGGCGGATGGAGAGGAAAAGCGCAGGATGGCGGCGACGGAAGTGACCGCAGTCGCGGATGGGAGGGCGGCGGATGGGGCGGCAACGGATGCGAGGGTTGGGGAATGGAGGGCGCCCGCTGGTGGGACGACGAGGGTGGCTGGTGGAATGCATGGGAAGGTGGCCGCTCGAGTGCCTCGGCAGGTTCTCCTGCCGCGGAGCCCGCGGCCGCAACAGCGGCGGGCAAAGGAGGCGGTCCCCTGCTTCCCCCAGGGCGCGAAGAACAAGGCGCAGTTGCGCTGTTTCAAATTGTGCGCAATGAGCCGCTGCCAATTTTCAAGTTGGAATTCTTCGAGAACTTCAGGGCGAACTGGAACGGCAATTATAAGCAGCACAACGCGGCCTTGAAGTGGTTCCGAGACGAGTACGAAGACCGAGAAAACCCTTTCGGCAGCCGCACGCCCGTCTTCGGAGGTACCGCAGTTGCGGAGGAAATTTCGAAGATCCTTAAGTACCGCGCAAAGGGGAAGGCGCAGGACAACAGGGATTGGGACTGGGACCACACTGTCAAAGTGCCGTGGTCTTGGCTGGAGATGGTCGCGCAGATGGATGGACCTACAATGCTGCGCGTCGTGTGCGGCCCTGACAATGACCGCAGTCGCGGGTTGGTCCGCTGCGAGTGCCGCCCGTGCCCTAGCAGTCTCGACAACATGAGGCACACGAAAGGGGTGGACAGA